AAAGACGTACGAGCACACGGATAAGTAAGTCGCGTTATAATTTTTCGCTATTCATATTGCATTTCAATTAATATAATTTTCAGATATTAAAACACATCTACATTCCGTATAAACGCACTAAGAGTAAACTAATAAACAAATACTTGTATCTTTCTTTATATATCCTTGCATTTTTTAATGACTTTAAGCATATTCGTCGCCGCCTCGTACGACCGACCTAAAGTTGCTATTGCGCCAGCAACAGAGACAATAATCCGAAGTACACTGCCGAAATAGTGTGACTTTGGAAATTTTACAGCGTTTCTCATGTACTTAAGATACTTTCCCGCATCACCCAATCTTAATCCAATCGAGTTTTTCTGTGACGAACTTTAAATTAGGATAAGGAAGTATATTAAATTAAATGAAATCAGCTGGCGAAAAATACCGCCAAAAGTTACATAAAAGTTAGTGCAGTCCAGGCAAAATAGACTGAAAGTGGTAATAAAACGAAAAGTGATGCAGTCTAGATACTTATTTAGGCTGTGTTTCACCAGATTCATTTTAGGGAAAATTACTTTAATTTTCGAATTTTTGGTTTCACCAATCAATTTTAATATTTTTTTTTTTTTTGTTTAAGTGACCTATGCTCTTCACTTAAATAAAAATTAAATCAGAGTAACCACACTCAGAGATGTTACACGTTTAATCAGCTGACCAACGTACACACACCACAATTTTGTGTATCTGCTGCTTACTTGTATACCAGCCCTGCTTTTACATCACAGCGTGACAAAGCTTTCAAAAGCTCTCAGTACAATTTATATAGGGCAGGCACAAAATGAAAGCTTTCGCTGGTCGAGTCTGTTTCCAGCCACTTTTTACTCACTTAAATAAAGATCTTATTGAAACTGAAAATAATTTAAATGAGAATTAAATAAGAAATTAAATTACAGTTAATTTCCACTTAAATGAGTTTGGAGAAATGCAGCCTTATAGTTTTGTTCAGATGAAAACTGAGTTACCTTAATATATTGAATTATTTAAATTTAGTTTAAATAGTTGTAATAATTGAAATACATCGTTTTGTTCCTTGATATCTGGCCTTCCATTCCATTTTTCCAGAAATATATATTAATTGCTTTTTGTTCCTCTTTTAGACATATTTACTTAATTAGTATGATTTAATGCCGGTAACTTTTGTCGATGACTATGTATATCTACTAACTTACAAAATGTAATTTTTTTACAGCTGGTTAACTTGTCGGCCCGTCGAACAGTTACGCATAATTAAGATGTTATTAACATTTCAGGACAGATTACGTATTCCATGGCGTGGCGGATCTAAGCATGCCACATTGGGTAGCCTTATTCCCGTTGTTGCGATTCCATTACTTATTAGCTTAGCAGCAATCAATGCATATACCTGCATTATATTATTTTTAACAAGCTCTGTGATAATGTGTTATGCTTTCAATTACGTCCAGAGCAAAGCAATACGGACAAGTTTTTTCAGCATATGGGTGTTTTCATCATTGGTCTACTTGATAGTGTTGTTTGAATTCACTGTACCGCTTTTGGAACTACTCCCAGAAGAGAATTGGGCTTTAGTCGCACTCTCCATAATTTCATTGATTTGCTTTTATCAGACTCGTAAGCGAGCTATATTAAATCACGTCATACAGTTTGCTGGAACAGCAAATGGAGTACTCATCGTTACAGAAACAAGCGTCGCAGAGGAAGATAAGACGATAAAAGCAGTTTTTCCTGCTAGAGCAGGACTTGGAAGAAATACAGCCAACTGATTGTGCGAACCGCGTTCAATCAAATGTTTGCTCAATCTGTAGTAAGTGTGTGCCGGCGCGAGCTGTACATTGCTCAGTTTGCAGTGCTTGTATTAAGAGACACGACCACCACAGCTATTGGTTAAATTGCTGCATAGGAGAATCAAATCATCGTTTCTACATTTTTGGATTGTTATTTAGCACATTCGCATTATTATTGGGCGCTAATTTGACACTTACTGCTGTTTGTCATCCTTTTATAGCAGCAAATATATTAGGACTGCACATATTGCTACCGGATGATTGCACCGAGGTTTTTGACATATACGAGTATGTCCAAAAAGTTACATGCTGATACAGTTTAAATAAAAATCTTGTTTATAATAGGTTCGGCTTAGCTTTTGTCATTGCTGCCTATGCTTTAATGATTGACAAATATATTTCATTTCGCGTGGAACATCATTACATGAAAGCAAAACAGAGGTGGGCGGGAATAATAAAACTTTGAAGTACAACTGGAGGAATTTTGTATTTTAGTAAGAAATATATCGTTACCTTAATATAGAAAGGCCCTAACTCACTTTCATTTTGAGTCCACATTTATACGAAATCTGTAAAATAGCTCACAATATATCTAATAGAAATTGAAAACAAATATTACAGCGTTAGATAAAATATTTTGTTTGATAAAAATCAGCACTTCGACGAAATTCGCAACCATAGAACTTTGCTTTTTACTAAATTTTCAAACTGTCTTTGAAAGAACGAAAATTTTAGATATGGCCTTTCTATATTATGGTAACGATATGTATGTCGTGAGTAAATATGTAAAACTAGC